GAGCCAGACTTCAGTGACAAAGTCACTCTCGAAGGCCCCGCAGCGCGGTGCTTTCGAGGCTGGAAGACTCCCCAGAAGCTACCACAATCGTGGTCTTGCTTCCCAAAAGGCTCTAGGCTCATCCAGTGGATCGAAGCCTCCCAGAAAGCAATCGTCGCCATCCCGCTGCAGCCACTGCACTGGGTGCGCAGAGCGCATCTCATAGATCACCCAGCCAGGGACATTGAGGCAGTGCCTCTATCCCTCAAGCGCGCCATCTCTGCCGAAGTGCATGAAGACACTGTCCTGCTGGCCAAGCGCCGCACATTGGCATCGATGCATATCTCGAGAACTTGCACAGAGTGTCAAGCCCTCGAGGCCGGGGCACGTTCTTCGATTGACGCTCAGGTGAACAGCGTCACCAAGCCTAAGCAGACAGTGGCTTTAGCAAAGCTTCTGAGTGAAATCGACTTCCCAGACAGGACATTGGCCAAGCAGGTGCGGGAAGGTTTTCCCCTGCTTGGCTGGATACAACCCAGTGGGCTGTGGCCAGTGCAGATCCTGCCTCCTTCTCTAGATGAGAAATCAATACTGGAAAACGCCCATAGTATAGGTATGCGCGGCATTCGCAGCGCGCTGCGCCCCTCGCAGGACGGGGTCTCGGACAAGGTCTGGGAAAGCACAATAGAGGAAGGCCAGCAGGGCTGGCTCTCTTTGGAGGACTTCTCGCCAGGAAAACTGCACGAGACGATAGTATCGTCTCGCTTCGGCGTTGTGCAAAAGGGCAAAGTGCGCCCCATTGATAATTTTAAGAGCAGCTTTATCAACAGCTGCTGCGGGACTACAGAGAAGGTCCAAGTCGACAGCATCGACGAGCTCCTCGCCGTGTGCCTCGAGTGGCTGCGCCAGGGTGTGCCCGCAGAGCAGGCCCACCGCATCGTAGGTAGGACCTGGGACCTCAAGAGTGCCTACAAGCAGCTTGCAGTGCAGGCTGCACACAAGAAATTTGCGTGCATCGTCATGGTGGACCCACAGAGTGGGAAGGTTAAAATCGCCCACCTACACGGCATGCCTTTCGGCGCAGTGGCCGCCGTGCACGCCTTCCTCCGCTGCAGCGAGGCGCTGAAAGCCATCGGCCGCGAGAAGCTTGCTTTGGTAATGACGAGCTTCTTCGATGACTTCACAGTTCTTACGCGCAGCGCGCACTCGAAGCTCGTCACTTTGGCAGTGTCCAATCTTTTTAACAAGCTGGGCTGGCAAGTGGACACAGAGCCCAAGAAGAACGCCGACTTCAGCGAAGTCTTCGACGTGCTAGGCGTGCGAGTCGACTTGTCTAAGCAACACCTTGGAGAAATCTCCGTCAGCAACAAGCCGACGCGTGCAGCAGAGCTGGGGATGGTCCTCAGCGAGGCCCTCGCCCGCGGCAGCATGTCCCCCCTGGAAGCGCAGAGCCTGCGCGGCAGGCTCATCTTCGCTGAGCAGCAACCCTGGGGCCGCAACACCCGCATGGCAGTGATCTGCGTCGGCGACGTCCTTGGGGATGGACCAGAGCAGGTCCCCCTCACAGAGCAGCAGTGCCAAGCCATGGCGTTCCTGCTGCAACGAGTCGTGCACGGACCGCCTAGGACAGTGTCCATCCATGCGCGCAGGAAGGTGCACCTGTATATCGACGGGGCCTGCGAGTGGGAGACCCCGCGACTGGTGCCCAAGTGTGGCCTCGGAGCAGTGCTCATTGGAGAAGGCATCGCCTTCACCTGGGGGTTGCAGATCAGCAGCCAGGTTGCAGCCCAGTGGGTTGCCAGGGCACAGAAACAGCAGCTGGTCTATGAGTGCGAGCTGTTGCCCTATTTGCTTAGCCTTCAGCTGTGGGCAAAGCATATAGCAGGCAGTGACCTGTTCGTCTGGATAGACAACGACGCAGCGCGTACTTCCTTGCACAAGGCCTTCGCACGGAAGGTAGAAGGCGCAGCGATAGTCTCGCAAGCGGTGGATTTTGAAGAGTCTCTGCAGTGCAGGGCTGCTTTCTTCCGAGTCCCGACAGACAGCAACATCGCTGATGGCCCCAGCAGAGACTGGTGGGAAGAGACTCAGAGGCTAGGCGCAGCGCGCCAATACCTGCCGCCCAACGCAGTGGCGTTGGCTTTGTCACTCGGCGCGGACTGAATGGGGGGTGAGTAAGGCTTCGAGTGCCTTCAAGGGGGGTGAACCAGTCGTTCGCCTTACCATCGACCAGCGGTCGAGTTTTTCCGTCAAGATGCCAGTGGCATCGTTTCTTCAGTGCCCGAAGATCGGGCCCGAACTGACCCCCCATGTCCGCTAGGAGAAAAAAGAGAGAGTGCTTTGCACAGGGTTCCTCTGCAGCGCAGTTAGGGTTTCCCAAACGCGCGCTAACGGAAGTTTCGTTGGAAAATAAGCATCCATCATGCGTGCGTGAATGGGTTTTATTTTCCGCCGAAAGTGTAGACAAAGTTTGTCGAAAAAGGAAAACAGTGTTTTCACTTGTGTGTGAGTGACACTAGACAAGCTTTGCCGTGCAGCTTTCGGCTTGAAGTTGGATCTGTGATCCAAAAAGTTTTCATCCCACCCACCACACCCTGTATAGTATGCGGGGTCTGGGACACCGCATAAGCAGCAGAGCTGCCAGGAGCAGCGCTCCTATGTTCTCTCTAGCAGAGAGGCGTCAGCACAGAGTGCGCTCTTGTACATAGGCCGTAGGCCGTCTGATTACAGAGTAGTAACTGGTAGCTGCAGTGACCCAGTCGGTCAGAGAATGTTTCACCTTATTGTCCCGTTGTACGGGTTACTCCCTTGTCGGGGGGGGTGAACCAGTCGTTCGCCTTACCATCGACCAGCGGTCGAGTTGTTCCGTCAAGATGCCAGTGGCATCGTTTCTTCAGTGCCCGAAGATCGGGCCCGAACTGACCCCCCATGTCCGCTAGGAGAAAAAAGAGAGAGTGCTTTGCACAGGGTTCCTCTGCAGCGCAGTTAGGGTTTCCCAAACGCGCGCTAACGGAAGTTTCGTTGGAAAATAAGGCTAGGTAAGACAGTTGCCAACGATGTGAACATCCTCGGCGTTCCCGGCGGTGTGTTCGTGTCTCGCTCGGTGAGGCGGTTCAGTGATTGCTGGGATCAAAATCTTTCAGCAGAGATCGATACGAATGTTTGGCAACACGGCTTAGCAAGCTTAGGCGGAACCTTGGTTTTGAACAACAAGAAGCTTACCCCCTGCAGTCCAGCCGGCAATCCCGTTACCGGTTGAGGCGGGGAAGCCAGATGTGGTTGATGAGGTGCCAAGGTCCCCTTCGCAAGTTTCTGCGAGTGATCCTGTGTCGAGTTCGCCATCCGGATCGATGTCCATTGATTTTCCTGAAGGTGTCCCTGATCTTCAAGTACCAGCACCTGCTGAGAATGCAACCGAGGCAGCTCAGACAATGCAACATGGTGATCAGGGTGATGTGTCCATGCCTTCAGTTCCTGAAACAGTGCAGCTCAGTGAAAATCCCAAACCTTCGAAGCAGCCCAGACTTCAAGCTTACGTGCGAGGGACGAGTTAGTGTTTTATCACGATCATGGAAAACAAACAAGGAACGTGTTTGTTTAGGCAGAAACGTTTTGCTGCATTGAGCATGTGTGATGTGCCTGCATGTGAACGTTGCTCAAGTCGGAGCCGGGCAGAAAATTTCGAAAGGAAATTTTCGAGAGGGGAGAGTCCCACAAGTGGACCGGGAAGGGTCCTCAAAGAAGGAAGGTTTGCGGTTGTCTCCTCAGCGTGCGAGACAACAATATTTGTGTCGTTGAAGAGTGTAAGCGCGTGATTGCAATGGCATCAGATCAAAGAGATTCTGCTTCGGATATCCACAAGCAAGTGACAGTCTCAGACAGGGTTTTTCCTTGCAAGCTTCGTTGCATAGTCGCTCTTGACCGGGTGTTGGGGCCAACGATCAGCTCCACCCTACTGCTCATGCCTCAGAGAGAGAATGCACGCAGTGTTCGCACCGACACTGCAGGCGCAGTATTACAGGTTAGAAAAGGCATAGCTCTTTCCCGGGAATCCGTGCTCGCCTCAAGCCATGTGCAACAAGCGGAGACACGTATGAGCATCATGTCAGTGCTCAGATGAAAAGAAAGGCAGGTGAGGCAGACCTGCCCTGGGACACACCTCACGGATACATTTTCCGAATGCAGGTACAAGCGAATGATCGTATTTCTCATAACACGGCCGTCACGCTCGACATCCAGCTTAGTTGCAAGGACATTGTGGATCAAGCGAAGTGGCTTGTTGCTCAAAGACTCTTCGAGCTGTTTGGTCGTTTTCCGAAGTTGAGTTCTTTTCACCTGGTTCAGGACGGCAGGCACCTTAGTTTTTCAGCGCCAGTGCTTGTAGCGAATACGCTATCACCTGTGATCTTCGTGCGAAATGCCTAAAAGCAGGAGTCTGCAGTATGTGCTCTGCGGTCTTGCTTCCGTCGCAGAGAGTTCCAAGTGACCGCAGTGGCCCATCTGACATCAAGCCGCACAAGGCGAATCCGAGGTCCCCGGTGTCGCATGGAAATCGACAGCTCGGATTACAGCGGCGATAGCCCAAGTACGCTCAGTCTCGTCAGCAGACATGTTACTGAGCTCGAGCGCCGAATTTCCACCATCCAGGCGCATGTTAGAGCGTGCGAAAGGAGGATACTCATTCTTGAACATCGCGCAGAAGCAGTCGAACCTGGCACCCCACTCAACGCCCAGGGTTACTTGCCCTGGTTCATCAGATGCTGCTGGAGCCGCGCACTGCCCTGACTCACCATCAGGGTATGTCTGCATCATCAAGGCAATCGACAGGCAGTGGGTCGGTCACTGAGAGAACACCTGCGGTCTCCCTGATGACGCGAGTTTGAATAAGCAAAAGTGTGCGTTTCTAGTGCTCCAGAGTATTGTGCAGTTCTGTCAGGCATCCCAGCGGAGATGTGTTTGTCAGGGACAGCTCCAGGAACAACCCGTAGACTGCAAATGTAGCCGTATGCAGCTCAGACACCATGTCGGCAAACAGTGAAGAGGTTTTTGAGCGGGATGAAGACATGTCGTCCTGGAGTTCGGCGTTCGCGCCGGTCAGTAAACCAGCAGATTCTCCGAAGAGCAAGCGCAAGAAGCATAAGAAGCGGAAGAAGGTGAAGAAGAGACACTCCACGACACAGGAGCGCAGGCGATGTGACAAAGAAGAGACCAAGAAGCGAAAGAAGAAAGAGAGGAAGTCGGCATCAGTCCCGGAAGATGCCGACAATCGGGCAGAGCAGTTGCCCTCCTCCAGCTACACCGCCCGAGACCCTCAGGAGCAGGAGGGTTCAGCCCACGAAGGGCTTCCCGCCAACTTGGGCAGGTGGGTCTTCCATGCCTCTTGGGAACCGACAGAAGAAGGAGACCAGCCGGAAGCGCCTCCCAAACGCAGTCCGGGGAGAGCAGCTGCGAAGATGCTGGTTCGCGCCGGCCTTCGCTGTAAATGTCATTTCGCTCTCGACTGCCCCTCTCGAGAAGGCAACAGGCACGGTCCCCAGAAGTCACTTCCTGTCGTTTTCAGACACATTCCTTGAGCAACTCTGGCCCGCGAGGGATCGCTAACACGGGCAACTCGTGTTCGAGGCCAATGCAGTGACGTGCAGGGCTGGGAGAGTTTCCTGCGTGAGCAAGACGCACCCTCGCAGAAGCCTATGATGTTTATGCTACTCGAGCCGGCTCAAGAGCTTTCAGTTTTCACCTTCGTTTCACCCTCCGTCTCACAATGGTGACGCCATTCAGCTTCGGCGCATCGCCCTACCTCCCCACTCGCATGGGCAGAGGTCGCAGAGACGACTCCGACTCCTCTGACAGTGAGGAGATGATTCCGACGATCTACGGGCTCATGCCCATGAGGCGAAAAGCTAAGAAGAACCGCAAGCACAAGAAGAGCAAAGAGTCCAAAAGAGACCGACGCACCAAGAAGAAGGCGTCGAAGAAGCGCGCACCCAAGGCAAAGAAGAGCTCGTACAGCTCTGAATCCTCCTCGTCCTCGTCTTCGCCGGAACGCCGCCGCCACAAGCGCAAGGAGCGTGCGGAAGCCGCTCCCTCGAGCCACAAGGGGGAGTCTTACCACACACCGTCCTTTACGAAGGACCATTCCTTTGGAAGTGGCAAATGGGGCGGACAGAGCTCCGGGTGGAAGCAGCCAGGCTGGCACTCGAACAAACAATGGCAAGCCAAGTCTTGGCAGCCCAGAGGCTCCGGCAAGCCCTGGAACACTTGGACGGCGCATGAGAAGGGTTACCAGTGGAAGCTCCCCGAACAGGAAGAAGAAGCCGAAGATAGGGAGGAAGCTTCCATGCAGGAAGCACTCATGAAGAGTGCAATGGAGGAGGCGTGGTCCGACCGCACTCGGACTTTGTCCTACAGTGAACTCCCGGCGGATCAGCGCGGCCCCCCCTACAAAGAAGTCATGGAGAATGTGGAAGCTGATGACATCGAGCGCATGGCCGCGCGGATCAAGGAGCACTCCCGCCTCCCGGAGGCAATGATCAACTATGTGTCCCGGTTCCTGGCCTCCCTCCCCGACGGGACGCTGCCGCAAGAGTTGAAATGGGCGCAGCATTCAGGATCGCATTTCTCCGCCTCGATCCTCGAACTGGAGCTTAAACCCGACATCGCCGCGCCGGAGCAGCTCCAGATCCCGGACCCCGTCCACTCGCAGAGTCTGACGGCCGCTCACGGCACGAAGTGGTCCTCGGCTCACGGCATTTTGAGCCAAAAGATCATCCGCCCTCAAGCAGCTCAGACCGACCAGTACCCGCCATACGGGTTCTTCGCCCGTGGCAGCTGCGAGCAGTACTCCTCGCACACGGCAATGAAGGCCCTGGAAGGGGTTGCGAGGAAAGCAAAGGCCTCGGGAAGTGGCATCGCAATTTTGGTGTCCGCAAGGGCACACGCGGTCCAACTCTTGGAAGGAGGCGTGGGCAAGCTTCATGCAGCTTGCAGAAGAGACTGGGCGGCGCGATCCTCATCGGACCAAAGTCTGTGCATCAGGTCGGAGGGCGCGACCATAAAGGCCGTGGCGTTCATGTGGCCGCGGTAGTTGCCTCCAAATCTTTTCATCTAGTTCAGTCCGAGGGACTCGAACGACCTCGGGAGATTTTGTTGTCGGGGCTCCCGGGATGATGACGAACTGCGCAACCACCGCCGAGAAAAGAAGCCGAAGCTGCCGCTTGGCTTGGAGATTGCACCCACTGAAGCGAGCATACTCCTTCGGATCATCGGATGCTAGGAAACTTGATGCATTCCCAAGGAAGACCGCCCGCGCCTCAGCAACGTCAAGCCGTACTTGAGTCATGTAAGGGTTCCAAGCATCGAGTGTCAGGAAAGACAGTGAGGGAGCATCCCAGAGAAACTGCCCACAGAAGGGCGAAACTGGCCCTGAGTGTGCCGCGGTAAATCGCTCTGGGAGTCAGAGCTGTGACGTTTCGCGAAGAAGCAAGCTTCGCTAGAAGTCCTCCGAGCAGAGGAAAACGCAGCGGGGAGATCCGCAAAACTCGCCGTCGCATGTCGCAGTTGTTTTCTGCTGAGCCTCTTGCCGTGTTGCCTTTGTCCGTGCAATTTCCTCGTTTGTCCCTGCGTTCTGCTCGAGCAAGCCGTGTCACAGTTTTGAGCCACGCTGAAAGAGAATGTATTGCCAGGACGGGCCGAGGAGCCCTTGCTAGATCACGAGGTGGAGTAGCCTCACAAAGAAGCGAGCCTACGGCATTTAGGGAAACTGACAGGTGTGTCGTGTCAGTCTCACCCAGCAGCATGGCGGAAGAGAGTGAAATCGACAGGCTGCTCGATTTGGAGCGGCTAGCAGAGTTGGAAGATCCAGGTGAGTTGGATCAGTGGCCAGAGCAGGAACGGCCCGAAGCAACATTAGCGCTCACGCCAGCTGAGTCAGAGCTTTTCTCTGCATCGGCCAGTGCCCGGCCCCAAAACCAGCAAAGTTCGCCGAGCGGCGTGCTTCAAGGGCGCGAGTACGAGCAGGCCCTGCAAGGCTGCTTGTTGAGGGCTGCTAAACGGCCAAGAATAGTCATGCCTTGGGAGACCCCCTTGATGCGGGACATTTTTGGAACCACTGAGCCCCCGGTCGTGGTGCCGCAAGCTCAGTTACAAACCACAGCCCCGCCTTCCGAGCCGGACCGAGACCCGGGCGAAGCCATTGGCAAGATACTTATGCCACCCAGAGCGGGGGCGTCATCCGCTTTGTCGGCAGTCAAGAACCGCCCAAACGTGAATTTCCCCAAGAGTGAACAAGCTTCAAGACTGAAGGGAATCTCTCTGTGGTGCGACGTCATAGGGGTCGCTCCACAACACTTCGGCATCACCAGGCACGTCCAGCTATCGGACGAAGACAACGGCGGCCAAGTCGCCACCGAGCTTTTCACGTGTGTCGATGCAGTGATGGGGGTCAAAGCCCCATCCACCATCAACTCTAGAGGGATGGTTGTGAAAAGGTACCTTTATTGGTGCACGCAGAACGACAGGTTAGCATGGCCGATGAAGGAAGCAGTGTCGTTCGATTATGTCCACCACCTCAAGGCACTTGGTGCTCCAACCGCTCCGGCCTCATTGCTGCAGGCGGTAAACTTCATGATCTACACGATTGAACCCGAGGGAGCAACGGCCATCATTTCCAGCTTCCTGATTCAGGGAGTGGCTAAGCAAGCCTCGAGCAAGAAGAGACCATTGAAGCAGGCGCCGGCGCTTACCGTCGCCATGGTACTGCGCTTGCACGCCATCCTCAGGAACACATCTGAAGGAGTTTTTGACCGGCTAGCTGCAGGACTCATGCTCATGTGCGTGTATGGACGCTGCAGATGCTCCGACCTCAGACACATTGAGGAGATATGTCTGGACATTACAGGGAGGCACGGCTTTATCGAAGTCCGGACGGAACATCACAAGACAGCCAACAGAGAAAAGAGAAGGCTCCTGCCCATCGTAGCTCCAGCCTTTGGAGTCACAGACGAGAACTGGGCCGAGCAGTTCCTAACCTTACGGAAGCAAGTCCTCGGCGAATTTGCGCCCGGGCCATTCCTCCCCGCTCCTCTTTCTGACGACTCCTTCTCTGAGCGCAGCCTCGAGAGTGACGAATTCACGTCGTTGCTGCGCTACCTACTAAGGCAGCTGGATAACGTAGAAGATCTCACGTCTCACAGTTGTAAGGAGACGGTGCTGGCATGGATGGCCCGCTTCGGGGCCGACAAACCCACCTTGGAATTCCTAGGTCGGCACGTGGGGAGCATTACGTCGAGCGACGTGTATGCCAGGGGGATGCAATCCCGGCCTCTGCGAAAGCTCGCGATGGCTCTAAACGCCATACGGGCGGGTACATTCCTGCCCGATGAGACAAGAAGCGGTCTCTTCAGGTCCCGCCAGGACAGCCGGCCCATCGAGACGGGCATTAACTCCCGTGGGGAACCATCAGAAACGACGTCTGCCTGGAAGGTAGTCTCGAACGAAGAAGAAAGGAGTCCTGCCTCTCCTGATCGAGACCAGGAAACAGCATCATTGCCGTCGGCAGCACCAGCCCCGGTGTCGGAGGAGGAAGCCAACAGCGGTGCTGAGGTTCCAAAAGAATCCGGTGCAGGCAGCACGTCGGATTCCTCGGACAGCTCTTCCTCAGAGTCGGAATCACAATCTTCCCAAGAATCAGCAGTCATGCCTCCGCCGGGGGCCGGCAACTTGTTTTTCCTGAATCCTAAAGGGAAGGTCCACATACTGGCAAACGAGTCAAGCCAGACTTTTAAGTGTGGCAGGAAGTGGCACGGCAGCATGATACCTGTCAGGTCACTAGGGCAGGGAGCCGAGACCTGCTCGCAATGTGATCCGAGTGCTTTTCCAATTCGCACAAGGGCGGACCTTATTGAAGCGATCAACAAGAAGCTCAAGCGGTGAATAAAATGCACCTCCAGTAGTTGAGAGTGAGTTATCGAGTCGAATCTCAGCTGCGGTGATGCCGCAGCCCCCCTTTTAAGAATCAAGAGATTGGCTAAAGCCTCAAATCATGACCTCACTCCTGGACAGCGAAGCTCAGTTCCTGCAGCGCGCTGCTGAGCTTGGCATACCGGATGCGGCGGCACAGGCGTTCAAGAGGCACGGTTTGGCGACACTCAATCGCTATGGTTTTGCCCACGGTCAGCCGGGGCAGCCGATCGACGAGACCCTATTCAACACCTTTTTCGAAGGCATCGCCGGGGTAGGGCAATCGCTGAGAACATTGTCAGCAGCCAGGAACCTTCTGTTTGAGGCCCACGTGTTTATCAGCGCCAGCCTCAAGAACAGGGTTGAAGCGACGGCCGACACAGCAAAGCCGGTCCCGAGAGCGGAACGCAGCGCGAGGCTCGACAGCCTTCGTGCAAAGTACCCAGGTCTCGAAATTTCCAAAGGTCTGGAGCCAGGGCACGCCATGCTGGATTCGGCCTCGCATCAAGCTGAGTCCAAAATACTCAAGTACATGCCGCCCTCCAGGTGTGCATCCAGAGAACAGGAAATGATGAGCAATAAGTCATCGGCCAAGCTCTTGGAAATTGAGGGCTCACAGGTCAAGGTCAAGGAGAACGACAAAGGACTGTTCATCGAGAACAATACCGAGTTCCTGGTCTACCAGGCACTACGCAGGCGCGGCTTGGCATATGAGTTCGCGGATCTCGTCACATTCACCGTCCACCAGAAATGGGTGGATTGGCTGTTCGGAGAACTATCCAAAGAGCAACCGGCCCGGTTCCAAAAAGTTCAGATGTTCCAGATCCTGCGAGCAGACAAGGCAGCCTGGCTTCACATGGCTGACGTGGTAAAGGATATCAGACCGTCAGACGGCACTAGACCTATCGACGCCGAGTTCGCCAGGTTGCCCACGGTACACTCGGTCGTGTTCGCACTCCTGCCCTTGCAGCAGTTCAGCCCAAAGGGAGGTGACCAGAAGGGCGACCGGGCCGGCAAGGGCAAGAATGGCAAAGGTTGGAAGGGCAACAGGCCGTCTCCGTATGACATGCCGCATCAAGACACGTGGTTTAGTCGCAAGGGAGGCAAGGACCGGAACTCCAAGGGCAAAAGCAAAGGGAAGGGCAAGGGCAAGCACCAGCAGGATAACTATGAGGCTCCTCGCATGCCCAAGCTTTTGCTTGGCCTTCACTACAAGTGCCCCACGTCTGGGAGGCCCATCTGCTTTGGGCACAACTTACCCGGGGGATGCCCCGCGGGGAAGAACAACGAGTCCGAATGCGACCGAGGCTTGCACATTTGCTCCAAGTGCCTGGGCTCTCACTCGTACAACCAGTGCCCGCAGCGGCAGACGAACTGACCATCACAGACAGAGGGCCTCTATCCCTCCTTGAATTTAGGAGGGAAAGTTTTCCAGTCATGCTTCGCCCTCGAGCTTTTCGCGGGCACCGCGGGCATCACGGCCGCCATGAAGAGTGTCGGCCTGTCAGCAAGTTTTGGCATCGATAGTTTTCTTTCTCCCTCTAGAAAGGGGCCGGTGATAAGGTTGGACCTTTCACTTGAGGCCTCTCAACACCTTGTTTTCCAGATTTTAAGTTCAGATCAGCTAGTTTTTGTGTGGATGGCGCCACCTTGTGGAACGTGTTCGCGGGCCAGGGAGATCGCCATGAGCACCTCTCGCTACGGACCAAGACCTCTCCGTTCGGATGATTTCCCAGACGGACTGCCGCATCTACTTGATCACGAAGCAGAACGTGTGAAGAAAGCAAACGAGCTGTACAAACTTGTGACTCAAGTGTGCATTAGATGCACGGACAAGCAACTCCCCTGGACGGTGGAGAACCCCTTCTCCTCCTTGTTCTGGCGAACCTCTTTCTGGACCGAGGCGCAATCTCGGTGCAATCCGAGATATGTGCAATTTCATTCGTGCATGTATGGAAGCGATCGCAAGAAGAACACCGCTCTGGCCTTTTTCGGCAAAGTGCCTCTGGACAGACTCCATGCTGAATGTGACAACAGCCACGCTCACAAATCATGGGGATGGTCCCATGAGGACCAGACCTTCTCCACTTCTTTGGAGTCGGCGTACCCGGCCAAACTGTGCAAGCAAGTGGCTCATGCTGTCAAGGATGCCTGCGAGGCAGACAATTTTGTCATGGAACCTCTAGACATGTTGCGGGCATCGCAACTGCCGCTTGCGGCAGAGAAAGTCTCAAGAGCAATGGCATCCGAGGGTACCACGAAGTCCAATCTACCCAACTTCGTTCCAGAATACCGGGTGATTCTCAAGGCATTCATTCCGAGATCTTCCTGTACGTGGCGCATCAAGGATTTCATCGAGCACCCTTTGATCACCCCGCAGGTCACCATTCCCGAAGGCTCCCGTCTGCTGGAAATCTCTCCCAGAACAGAAGGGGAGAACTCCACGATTCCAGCAGAAGCGGACACAATCTGCACATTTGGAGTGCCTTGGAGCCCCGGCGAGTTCCTGAAGGAAGCGGCGGGAAGAGGACACCCAGCCGACGCGATCTCGACAGTGCCTGAACCACTGAAAAGATCCATTTGGGAACTTGCGGCTGACGATCCATCGGCGGTCGCTGAAAGGCGAGCGTCCTTCTTCCGCAAATGGATGTCGGTTGCTTCGGAGCTCTACGAAGAGGAAAAGGCCTTGAAGGACTCGATGGACGAGGGAGTAAGGTCGGTAGTAAAGGACAAGAAGATCCTGCTCTTCAAGGAGATGGTGAACGCATACGAGCTGAACGATGCTGAAGCACACAAACTCTTGGAAGAAGGTGTTGACCTTACGGGCGAAATTCCGATGTCGAACGACCTGCCCAAGAGGTACACCCCGGCCACGATCCATGAGAGCGAGCTCGAAGCTCTTGCTCCGGTCCTCAAGGATGCAGCGCTCTCAAGGGCTCTTGGAGCCGCGGAGGGCCTATCCAAGGAAGTGTGGGAGAAGACCATAACGGAAGTTTCGAGGGGATGGCTCAAGGGACCCATGGAGCCTGATGATGCCGATGCGCCCTCGGTCGTGTCTAATCGCTTTGGGGTTAAGCAGAGGGACAAGGTACGGTGCGTCGACGATATGTCGGCTAGTTTGATAAACGCTACCACCTTCGCGGAGGAAAGGATATCTCTTCATTCCGTAGATGTCATGGCTTCCGCTGTGGTTGAGTGGTGCGACGCCAGAGACGCCGCGCAGAGGCCTCGCGACTTGACCGCTAAGAGCTTCGATCTTAAGTGGGCCTTCAAGCAGATGGCAGTGTCGGCGAGCTCCAGAGACAGGGCGGGACTAGTCATCAAGGACCCGTCTGGCTGCCCCAAGGTCTTTACATCGCTGGCCCTGCCCTTCGGGGCCACTCAGAGTGTATACGCCTTCAACAGGATGAGCAGGGCACTGTGGACCCTAGGAGTCGTGGCCCTCAGTCTCATGTGGACGGTTTTCTTTGACGACTTTTGCCTGTTTTCGGAGCCCGCCCTGGAGAAGAGCTCGGACCTGGCTGCAAGGTCCCTCTTCGATATCCTTGGATGGGTGTATGACACCTCTGGCGAGAAAAACACGGTCTTCGGTAGGACACTACACGCTCTAGGAGTCAGCGTCAACCTGAGACATCTCACCAAGGGATCGCTACTCATCAGCAACACTGAAGCAAGAATCAGTGAGCTCGTGAGCGAGCTCTCAAACATTCTCGACAGGGGAAGAATATCGAGATCCGAGGCCAGGCACATGGCGGGGCGAATGAGTTTCGCCGGAGGGCAAATCTTCGGTCGACTCCCGAAGTCCTGTCTTAAAGTATTCTACTCCGTTTTGGAACGGAACTCTACCGCAATTGACGGAAGCATCTCCGCAGCACTTCGGATGTACATTGACATCGCTCAGTTCGCCCCAGCGAGGACGATTCTCCTGGGTCAGAGGCCCTGCGTCTTTATATACACTGACGCGTCCCTGGAACCGACTAAGGAAGGAAACGTCGCGGGAATAGGCGGAGTCCTGTGCGGACCCACTGGAGAGCCCCTGAGGTTCTTCTCGTACTTCCCTAGCTCAGCTGAGCTTGCTGAGGTGGGAATAGACCTAGAGTCTAAGTGCATCTTCTTGCTCGAGTTGGCTGCAGTCTGCTTGGCGTTCAAGGCTTGGGGCGAGGCCCTCAGAGGAATGAGAGTCGTATGCTACTGTGATAATGAAGGCGCCAAAGCCTGCCTTATGACTGGAGCAAGCGCTAACAGAGTCGCAAACGACTTGCTGAAGCATCAAGCCGCATATGAGCTCAAGACGGGGACTGTACCCTGGATCGCGAGAGTCCCGTCAAAATCGAACATCGCGGATGAACCCTCGAGAGTTAGGATCGAGGCTCTCCCAGACTTTCCCGACGCAGTACGGTCCACGGTAAGCGTCGATCTTATAAAAGATGGGGAAAGTTCTCTCCGCTTTCAGTGACCCGATCTGTCGGGACAAAGATCTTGGAATGACTCACAAGGACGGAGACTTCGTCATCCCCACATGGAAAAAGAGAGAGCGATCTGCGTGGAAGATATTTGATTGAAGATTCTTTTATTGAAGATATTCCATTTGATTGAAATTTTCTGCCGGTCCTGTGAGTGATAAGCTTACGTGCGAGGGACGAGTTAGTGTTTTATCACGATCATGGAAAACAAACAAGGAACGTGTTTGTTTAGGCAGAAACGTTTTGCTGCATTGAGCATGTGTGATGTGCCTGCATGTGAACGTTGCTCAAGTCGGAGCCGGGCAGAAAATTTCGAAAGCCCGCCCACCCGCACCTTTTTCTTCAGTCATGCGAGTCTTACAAATTCCAGAGATCTGGTGCACCGTCAGCTTGTACCTGAGGACCAGAAGACAACGTCGCCTCAGCGCGACTGCCAAGGTCTTCCGAGCGCTGTTCAGGCGTTGGTTTCAACCAACAGGCTTCACTGACAGCAGCGAGTACGAAGAGGAG